TTGGCCATTTAGTTTACAATCGAAACAATTTACTGCTATTAAGTCTACATATAGTTCCTCCCATGCTGGACCCAAAGAATGTTTGCTGTTTTCATTATGATTTTGATGCTTTCATTTGAATAAATATATTTGCAGTCATGATTCTGAAAACAAATCAGTACAAAAAAAATCTAGTTCATTTCCCCTATACAATATATTGGCAGATCATTGCTTAAAAGGGTTGGTATAAATGCCTGCACCACAGTGATGATGCTGAGTTTTATTTTAGGTTCAAGATGGGAAGAGTCCAAGGGCATACTAATTCAGCTATGGATAGGTTTCGAGTCAATGTCAAAAAATTTGTCACAAAATTGTTTTGTAACACAGAAAGAGCAAGACATATTTTTTGTTCCTTCATTTTGTTTTTAAAGGGAATAAAAGTGCTTCTAAATCTCTTTGAAGTAAGTGACAGTTTTCAGGCTTACATTTGAAAGGATTATCAGTACCACTGGCAAACACCAACAGAACTGAGAGATATCTCTAAAAAGAGATTGAGCAAACCATTGAGTTCTCCAAGTCACAGGAGACAAGATCTAAATTCCAGTCGCAAGGTATTGTATTCTCTGGTTCACGATGAGATCAGCAAACACAAGACATTGAAGTTGGAGTAATTATTGACTAACACACAATCTGCTATACTGTTTATCTGGAAGTCCGATTTAGCCTCTAGGATTTTCCAGAGAACATCCTAGAAGAGGTCGCTACCATTGACACCCAGGGAAGGCAATTTTTTTTTTTTTTTTTTTTTTTTTTTAGGGAAGGCAATTTTTAAATTGTCCCCCTTGGGATGGAACTTTCTGTGGACGTTAGGCCCTTGGGACTAAAACCTACAAGGCATTTATGAATAGCTGATATGACAATTTTAATAAAAGTTGAAATAACCATGAAAATAGTGTTTTTAGAAATCTACGTACTATTAGTAACAATGCATGCATAGTGCCAGGCATTCATAACTATTTGGTTATAAAAATATGTGACTGTAATTATGATATGTACAGTCAACTTACAAAAATACATGTAATTCTGAATGGCAATAGTTAATCCTTAGCTCTAACCACAAGCCTAAAAGGATTAGAGGATTATTATGGGAAAGTGCATGGGTAATTACAAAATGGGAAAAAGCTCTCACTCTCTCGAATTCAATATTCAAGAATGGCTACTATAGCTTCATAGGAGCTTCATTTGTCATAATTCTTCTAACCTCACAAGGTAAAACCCAAATTCTCTGGAAATAAATAGGAATCAAATGGGAAAGAAACACTCACATTATTCAACCATAGGGAAGAATAATTCTTTCATGGAATTTTCATGCACATCAGTCAGAGAGGTTCACAATCCCTGGAAGAATTCATGGGGTGACATTTAAGTACACCTTTCATTAAAAAAATTAAGCATGGTCTAGGTTAACCAAATCTTTCTACAATTTAGGTGAGTACCTTTTTGGAGCTTATTCACCATCATGGGGAGTGGAGTTCTTAAGTATTTTCTAATTCAAATTTATTTGGAAGAAAATAAATTCACATTGCAGTTTAAATTCAAAAAAGGTGTGTTTCTCTCTCTCTCTTTCTTTTTCTTTCTTTCTATTTCTCTCTCTCTTTCTCTCTGTCTTTCTCTTTCTCTCCCTTTTCTTTCTTTCTTTCTTTCTTTCTTTCTTTCTTTCTTTCTTTCTTTCTTTCTTTCTTTCTTCAAACTTGAAAATTTCTTGCTTTAACAGAAAAACACATTTCAGCAAAATACAACATTCTAAATATATGAGATATTTCCTACAGTTTCTTTTCTTCCAGGGTTGATCGGTCATCTTTTAGCAGTACATAGGTTCCCAATTTGAACACCATGAGTATTTCACAAATGGACAAAGCAATGGGAGTAAACTAGAAAAGCTAGGGAGGAACACAAAAGCTATCAAAAAAGGTAGAGGTTGGGCATTACCTACAAATCATGATCTCATATGCTAGGATGTATCTTGGCATTGAGTAATTGGAATATTTGGAAACATCTGTTGCACAGTGAGGTTGGAGGTCAGATGATGCTCGATTAGATTCTTTGTGTGCTTAAGTTACTTCGTAGGACTGAGTTAGGGCATTTTTGGTGGTATATTAACTCTTCCAGAGCAAGAAATTCCATTTCAATAAATTATTGCTACAGTTCACTAATGAGTACCGTGGAATCCTGGAAAAGATAACGTCCCTTCCAAAATCCAACCCCTCTTGTCTATTGAGCAATAAGAAATTCACATTTATTTTACTCGCTGTGATCCTTGAAGACATAATCTAAAAAAGAACTGTTTTACTCCATCCACACAAAGACTATCTAGATGCAGGTGTGATATTGGAATTGCCCTGGTGGTCTGGCAATATATGCCACCATCCTCACATGCATTTGGCAACTGGCATGCTTCATTCTTTCTTTATAAATCAGACTGCCAATCTTCTTTGTATGTGGAATTGTCTAAGGTAATCAAGAAAAAAATGACCCAAATAGACAAGCTTTTAAAAAAAATTGGTATATGAATGGAGAATGGTACACCTTGGGAAAACAGTGGAGTACTAATTAATGGAATATCTCAGATGATTATTTCCCATCTTTTGAAAGGGATGCAAAACAAATCTTCACAAATGATGAGTGAACTAAGCAGAAGAATCCCCCTCTGTTCCCCCCAAACCCAGTTCTTCAGAAATTTCTGCTTCAGATATGAGATCATGGTCTGCAGGTCTACAAGTATCAAATACCAGTTCATCCTAGCAGAGCTGTTCAGGAGGCCAAAGGCTAGGGTTATCTGTGAAATGAATTTAAAACAAACCACATGAGAACAATAACTTATGTTTATGGCAATTATTTTCCATACTTGATCTACTGATATTGTGCCCACATGAACACAATTGAGAAGACATGAATCATTTCTCATAGAAACTCAGTAACCTCAAGGTAGGACAAAACAAACTTCATTTAATAAAATAAAATTTGGTTGAATGGTTTTCATTTTAGAGACAGTTCTTCTCTCCCTTACTATCCTGGTAAACTCCTTAATTGGAAAAGCATACTTGTTTTATTGTTTTGGTAATTCATTAATCTATCAACTTCATTTCCGAAGACTGCAACCCAAAGGGAACCGTTTGATCTCTTTGCTGAACTTAATTGAGTCCAAGAAGTTTTTTCTTTTCTTTTCTTTTTCTTTTTGTTTCCAGATTTTAGTATTTGAAATTCAATTAAAATATACAACTGAGGTTGGTGGGAAATGGTAGTTCTCTTCCAGGTACAAGAGCTTACTAAATGCTTTTATAATCACTGGACATTTGTTCAGTCCTACCTGAAAATTAATTTATTTTACTGCTGGGCATGGGAAAAGGCATTTTCTAGGAATTTTCTGTGACAGGAAGCACAGCATTAATCCAAGTAAGCACCCAACAGACTAAGTCTATCTGCTGGGGACCAGTGTTAAATGTGAACTCAATGAAAACATTTACCTCAGTACTTTTTCTGAGAGAGAATTCAGCAGCAGTTACAGTTCACATGCCACCCGTGGAGAGCTACGGACACCCTAGGTGGTGGGCCAACTGACGAGCACTTTCCAGGTAACAAGAACAATGATATTGGCAAGAAGCTACAAAACGATATTGTGGTAGTTATAGTGACCACTACTATCATGATCGTGGCCTGGGTTAGTGTTTCAAATATTAATACAAGGAGCACACTAGACTTTATAGGATTAGAATATTTTCCTTACACTAAGAACCAGTTGGTGACGCAGGATGAGTGGTGATGATCCATTTACTCTGTTCGTTCTACGACATTTCCTAGTTAGATCTCCTTTTTCCTATGTTTATTATCTATATTCCATGGCAGTATATTTTTGTCATCTAAAATGAGAACACTATACCTGTGGTATACCTCAATGTACTCACACATGCACACAGACACACAGACACACACACACACACACACGTGCACCCTATACACACATGTATGGACAGTATGTGTAAAAATCTTCATTTGCAGTGGGTAAGCTCTCTGAAAGCAGGCAAATCAGCCTTTTCAAATATAGAGAACCATTAGACCTCAACGAAAAGCCTTATCAACTATTTAGTTCCAATGTGAAATTTTAACCATGTGGTAATTGGTTTAAATGCCGTGTGTGTGTGTGTGTGTGTGTGTGTGTGTGTGTGTGTTTGCCAAGTCATCCAAAGCAAGAGTCTCAAAGATTGACATGAAATGTAGAATCTAATGGACTGACATCTCTGTTTATTTTGCTTATCACACAGTTGTATAACACTCTTGCTGCTGAAACACTTGAATTGTTTTGAATTGCCATTAATGCATCTATATTTGGCTAAGGCTGATGTGACTTTCTAGAGAAAGGCCAGCCCATCTGCAAATGTACAACTTCTTCTACACAAACATCAATGTACACTAAAGACAAATCTAAGTATATGTATATATGGCATATATACATATATATGTACACGTAAAATGGATTGGGAAGTCCTTTGGTTTAGACGGGATTAAATATGTACTTCCCAAGTGCATAGGTTTCCTTTGACCAACCTGTTCAAAACACAAATAAGAAAAACGCCATGGCAATTTTGACATTGACTGTCTTTTTCCCTATTTAGAGGCCCCCTTTCCTCTCCTCTCCATCTTTCTTATGCATATTATTTTTAAAAGCAGTTAGATCTTTTGGCCTTCCAATGCTCCATTGATTCGTCCATTCCTTGGAAGAGCTCTAAGATCACATCCACAAACTTATCTTTAGTGGAGAACAAGGCTGTAAAGAACATTTCCCTCTTCTTTGATTCTCTCTTCCCCCCAGGAAGCGGACACCTTGATGTGTCATGAACAATTCACTCTTGATCTGACTTTCCTTGTTACCCCTGGCCAGCCCAAGCAGCTGAGGTGTGAGCTTTGCTCTCCCTGCATCGTTGTGCAATACTGGAAAAGAAAAATAATCCATTTGTCTACACCCTTCAGACTGTGGTGACGTGATCAGGGTTCTCTTGAATTTCTATGCATTCAATTTCCTCTCTCTCCTTCCGTTTGGCCCGTTTCTTTTTCTTGTGGTGTTTTTTGGAAGGGGGGAAAAAGGTGAGGAACACAGGTAAGATAACAAAACAGTGCAGAAGTGTGCAACCCCCAGTGAGCAGCAAGCATTTGAACAGTGTGAAGGTCAGATTCGAAGGCACAAATAGGAGGGGGACCAACCCAATAAGAAAAGAAGTAACGTTTTGCAAAATGGCTGTCCCATGCTCTTGTAGGGAGCTTTTTATACATTGTGTTCGGGTGTGCTCAGTTGCTAATACAAATGTGTAAAGCAGTGGTGCACAGTGGTCAATGGCAAAATTTAAAGTGTAGATAAGGCACAAGATAGAAATGCAATCCATGTCGACGTTCCATAATGTCATTAAGCCCAGAACGCCCAGCTCGATTGAGGTGACGCTAAGAATTAGCCAGAAGTTTCCCAGAGGGTGGATCACTAGGAAAAAGGTCAGGATTAACACCAGGAGAATACCAAAGCCTGCAATCAGAACAGGCACTGTGACAGACAAGCCATAATGATCCGTGAACACGAAGGAGGGGTTGAACACGATGAATCGGATGCTCTTTGAGAGCGACAGGGGCCTCAATTTTTCCAACACTTCTATGACTTCCTTCTGCTTGTCTTTGCTAGTCCTGGCCACCAGGTACAAGCGAGAGGCAATAATGTTGTTTTCATCCCCCGCCTTGGAGAAGATGATATCGTTTCGAAAATGTTGGAATTCTGGCTTTTTTAAAAATGAACTTTGTAGGACACTGATAAAGTCACTCTTGTTATTGGCACTGATGTTGCTAACTTTCAGGAACTGGTAATACTGCTCCACCCAGGACACTGCCGTGAACCCACTACAGAGTCTCCTCAGGTCCTCCTGGACGCTGCCGTTCCAGTATTCCAGGGGCTCGTAGATGTAGAATCCTATCACCGGGCTGTAGTTGCTGAAATATTTCTGCTGGATCATGGCGTAGGAAACGCTCGGGGAATCGCTGGCTAGGAGATTGATGATGTCGGCTCTGTCACTGATCTGCAAGCACCCCATGAAGGAGAAGGAAGCATAAATGAGATAGAGGATGACAACAAATGGCTTCACGTAGATATTGGTAATCCATTCGTTGTAATGTTCGCGCAGGAAGTGCTGAATAAAATGGTGCTGGTAAGGGTTCGTCTCATGATGGGATGTCTGTTGATGCCCATCACTCATCACTGTCTGGAACCACACAGGTTTGCGGTCCAGGTACTCCGCAGAGGGGATCTTACAGCAAAAGATGCTGTGGTAGCGGTTTTGCTCCAGCTGGCCGGCGAAGACCAGACAGGAGCCAAAGAATGAGAAAATGTAGAAGTAGTTCAATAGAATGGAGACACACATGTTCTGACAGAAGACCTTCACAGCCTCTATGTTTGTGAATGGGCTGGCACCCATGCCAAAGGTAATGAAGTACAAGGAGCTGGTCATGGTATAGGTGACCATCACATCAGAATAGGCATCTGCTACCCTGTCTTTGAAGGGCAAGTTCTCTCTCGTTCTGCGCCATCCAGACAGAAGCTCAAATACTCCTTTAGTTCCATGACCTAGTTTTTTAAAAAAAGAAAAAGAATAATTGTTTTTATTTCCTCCTATGGAACTCCTGATAGATTATCTATTCTAAGCAGTACTTTATACTCTAATCTTCAAATGCTATGATCCTTGTATCAGGGTCTCAAGATTTATGTGGCAGGATATAGTTAGTCCGTGTGTCCACTTCAGCAAAGTCCAAATTAGTTGTTATTCTGGGTAAAATGAAACATGTGCTGTCTGTCTTATTAATTGTACAAGTCGTAAATATAATCGACATTATTATGTGATTCCCCCTCACCCTTGCACACGTGGTGTCTCCCCAAGTGGGTCATAAGTTGTAAATGGTGGGGACCGTTATTCATACATCTTCAAATGCCCCTCAACACTTGAGTGCTCGATGTATTGACGAATAATCCTTAACCTCCATTTCAAGCTGACTTTCATGCTGATTTAGGAAATTATAAGATGATTTTAAACACTTAAAAATCACTTTAAATTGATTTTGCAATGCTTAATAATCTGCTTGGTGGCCAAATGGCTTAGAAACCAATTCCTATAGATCTGATTAATTAACACTGGGTATGAATTGAAAAAATCCGCCAGGTCACATAAAAGACAGGGAAAGACCTCCCGAGCGAGAGCCTTTGGGCTCCTCACAGAGCTTGTATTCAGATGGTATGGATGCTGACTAACATTTACTTCCTTAAAGTGGATGAGGAATACTTCTTTTAAGTCAACTTCTGTTCACTCTTTAATAAGGATAAATAAGCAAAAGCTTTATTCAACATATATTGCTGGAGCACCTACTATGTACCAGATACTGTTAGATATTGAACTGTCATCCCTCACCCCCCTCCACACTGCCCCCTCCTTCCACCCCGCCTGCTTGCTTGCTTCTCTACCCACCCCAAGAATTTAAGAGCTCTTAAGATACCACCACTTGCTTCCTTACCAGCAAAAGCTGAAAGCAGCTGGGAAAGCAAAGGGACTATGCCATACCTTCAGTTTCCCTCTTTTTCCCTTCCCTGAATTAGCTCTGTCAATTACCATCCACAGTGTATCAGTTGGTAACTTTCTGACTGGTGGAAATCTTCCTGCATCACTCTTGCCCTTGTAGGCAAAGCAATACTACACAGAAACCTTTTCTATGAATGGATACAAGCTGTGCTTGGGCTCTTCTCCAAGAAATCCATTAGAGGGAAACATAGCTTAAAGGCACAAAATGACCTAGTTCAAGAAAACTTGGAAACTGAACTTTGTGTGACACCTAGATATTGGGGCAATTCACTTAGCAATGCGTTAACAAACATAATGGCTGAGTCTTAGTATAATCATGGATCTTGTGTTGTTGATAGAGTTGCTAATTGGCTTACATAATTTTTCCATTCTTTGTGACTTTTATTTGGGATTGCAATGGGCACAAGTAAAAACCATTTCTCAGCCTACCTTTTAACTAGAGGTGGTTCATGTGATATATTTTTGGGATGTAACTGATGGTCACCTAAGGATGCTTATTAGAAAACCCGAAAGAGCTTTACCCTAAATCGCACCATGGAGCCACCAATAAGAGCCATGGTCTACCATCCTTTCTAATTCTTTTTATTTTTTAAAAAGTTTTTAAAATGTTTATTTATTTTTGAGAGAAAGAGAGAGACAGAGTGCAAGCGGGAGATGGGCAGAGGGAGAGGAAGACACAGAATACAAAGCAGGCTCCAGACTCTGAGCTTGTCAGCACAGAGCCTGACATGGGGATCAAACCCATGGACTGCAAGATCATGACCTGAGCCAAGTAGGACACTTAACTGACTGAGCCATCCAGGCGCCCCTCTAATTCTCTTTAAAAAGAACCCAATCTCCATTTTCTTAAACCACTGTAAGTAAGGTTATCATATACAGCTGAACGTTTTCCTAACCAACAAAGCTTCGTAGGTGAGTTGACATTTTTAAAAAATTTTGATTTATTTTTGAGAGAGAGAGAGAGCACAAGCCAGGGAGGGGCAGAGAGAGGGACAGAATCCAAAGCAGGCTCCAGGCTCTAAGCTGTCAGCCCAAAGCCCGATGCGGGGCCCAAACCCATGAGCTAAGAGATCATGAGCTGAGCCAAAGTTGGAGGGCTAACTGACTGAGTCACCCACGTGCCCCATAGGCGAACTAACATTTATTTAAACCTCTTTTATGAAGAGCTAAGAATTCTTGCTTTATAGTTAATTTGACTCTAGTATTTACAGGTTAAGATATATATAATGCTAATATATATTTAAAAAACACATTGGTTCATTTCTTTTGGGAGTTTCAAAAATTAGTTATTAATTGTTACTGCATTGGAGCTGTTCTTTTTAAAATTTTTTTTAATGTTTATTTATTTTCGAGAGACGGGACCGAGAGACAGATTGGGGGAGTGGGGGAGGGGCAGAGAGGGAGAGGGAGACCCAGGATCCCAAGCAGGCTCCAGGCTCTGAGCTGGCAGCACAGAGCCTGATGTGGGGCTCAAACTCACGAACCGTGAGATCATGACCTGAGCTGAAGTGAGACGCTCAACCGACTGGGCCACCCAGGTGCCCCTGGAGTTGTTCTTATCCTAAATATAAAGCCCATTTATTCTCCAAAATTCTTTCTTCTGAGTTTCCAGTCAGAAAAGATAAGTGTACCCTAGCAAGTAGAAAAAGATTAGGCAAATTGTATTTATGTATAAGGTAAGTTTTTTGTTGTTGTTGTTTTGTTTCAGAGGCAGTGATCTATTAGTTACTGTACTTAATTACTAGCTCAACATATATGTGCATTGAATTAGGTCTAATAAATATTTACAAATTTTTTAAGGCTTATTTATTTTTGAGAGAGAGAGAGAGAGGGATACAGAGTGTGAGTGGGGGAGGGGCAGAAAGAGAGGGAGACACAGAATGCAAAGCAGGATCCAGGCTCTGAGCTGTCAGCACAGAGCCCGACGTAGGGCTCGAACCCATTAACTGTGAGATCGTGACCAGAGCTGAAGTTGGACACTTAACCGACTGAGCCACCCAAGAGCCCCAAGTCTAATAATTCTTAACATCGTTAATTCTTCATTTCTATCTTCTGCAAGACTCCTTGACAATACAGAATACTTGCCCTTTCATTCCCTTGATAAAAACATAATATTAGAATATTAGCTGAAGTAATTAAAAGACTTCTTTTAATTAGAGCACTTCTCTTCTGAAATGAGGACTCTTGCTATCTTTGTAGTCATAAGGGGGAGAAGGCTACATGGCGTACAGCTAAATTTGGCTTTCCTTTACTAATGGTCACTTTTATGGAATATTAGGTACACTATGTAGGCCAGATTGTTGCTTTATATAGTACAAAGGTCTGTACGTGTGGGAAGATAATGCTAACCCATATTAGGTTAAGTAACCACTTTAAGTGTTGATAAAGACTGAAAACATGATTTCCAAACTTTGTTGGAGAGGGCATTTTATCCCATTCCTAGGTTTGGATATTTACAGACCATTCCTACTGATAAGAATCATTTGATTCTCACCATAGCCTGGCCATTTCCTAGCTGTTCCAATCTATGACCTGCTTCAGCTAGGGTAGTCTTTACTTTCCCCCATGAACCTGCCCATGATGGGCTTAACTTCTTAGTTTTAATCATGCTTTTTTTCTCTGTCTTGCAATACCTTCTCTTCCTTGCTGATCATACGGACATTTTGTCCATCAATCTGTGAAGTGTCAGCTCAGTTCCCTTATTTGCCAGGAAGCCATCTCTGACAATTCCAGACATATTGATTTTTTTCTGTTCCTTAAAGTCTTACTGCACTAATTAGGTACTTATTTTGGCATACAGCCGTGGGCTGCTCTTTTCTGGAACAAAATAGTTTTCCTAGGATATGTTCTATTCCTTTGGTTAGACTGCAAATTCTTCAAGGTCAGGGAATGCATTTTATGTTACTTTTATACTTTGCAGAACATCTGGCAAAGTGATATATGCCCAGAAGATGTCCACTAATTTCTTATTGAGTGAAATCAATTCTTGGTTCTAGATGGGTAATAAAAATATATCTTTTCATCGCTTATTCTAAAATGTATTATGCATCTTTTATATCTACACTGTGTCCAGAAGTTTGTACACTTTTAATTCAATTCAACCCAATATGTATTTATTTTGGCTTGTTCCACATGAGGGCCTATATTAGTCAACATATAAAACATAAAAGTAGAGAAGAAACACAATATTCTTCAATATCTGTCAGACCAGAAGGTCATTTTCACTTGGGTAATTCTGACACAGAGATTATAGCTTGTAATACATATGAATTTCACAAGCTGTCCTGTAAGATGGTCAGAAGCATTTCCTGACCTCCACTAACTAGATGTCAGTACCAGATACCACAATTGTGGCAACCAAATATGTCTCCAGACATTGCTAAATGCTGACCAGGGGACAAAATTGCACCCAACTGAGAATTCCTGGTTTAGTCAAAACAAAACAAAAAATAAGACACACGCACACACATATGTATTTTAATCACCTTTTTCTGATTGTAAAAATAGGACATACTTCCATCAAAAAAATTGGGAAAGATGAAAAAATAATGGTTAAAAGTTATTTTATATTCCTACAATACAGATAATTGCTCTTAATAATTTTGTGTATTTTTTCCAGTTATGTACATGTATAACGATGTATCAGACTTATCCATCATCCATCCATCCATCCATCATTCCATCCATGCAGATTGCTAACTACTCAGTTATTTCCTAGAACAGCGCTCCTGTAAGGAGAAATTAGAATTTGGGATTACTCTTGTCCCTGTCCAGTTGGCCTGCCAACCATGGGAAGCCTGTTTTATGACCTCTGCAGTATTTTCTCTCTTGGTTTCTCACTTCTTTTTTTTTTTTTTTTTTTTTTTTTTTTTTTTTTTTTTTTTTTTTTTATGTTTTATTTATTTCTAGGAGAGAGAGAGAGAGAGACAGCATGAGCAGGGGAGGGTCAGAGAGAGAGGGAGTCACAGACTGAAACAGGCTCCGGGCTCTGAGCTGG